TTTTACTGCTGGAAACCTCCTAGCTGTCAAAGCTGTGTCCTTAACACCTTGTTTGTTTTTTTTAATAACAGTGACATGGCCGACATGGCTGCCAGTGACAGAGCCTTTGTCTAGGATGCAGCAGGGGAGGGTGTGTGTGTGTGTGTGAAACCTCGAAGTATGAGAGCAACCTTATTTCCCTAACAGAGTTTGCGGCTCAGGACAGTTGATGCTTTTGTGGGCCCCGACTGCAGGAGATGCTGAAGCAGGATCAGGTTTGACGTTTCTAGTGGAGGGGTGTGTGTGTGTCTCTCTCTCTTGAAACCCCAGTTCAGCATCTCTTGCTCTCCGGCCCCACAGAACAGCACTTGGGACAGAGTTCAGCTTGCCCTTCCTTCTCCCCTGTTCTCACTGAAGAGTCATTGTGATTTTTTTTTTTGAAGCAGCAGTGTTATCAGTGCCCGTTCATCCCATGAATGGCTTTGTGTGAGAGAAAGGCCTGTTTTCTCAGTTGTTACTTCCCCTGTAGGTTTCTGCAGGACTGTAAACTTTGTCCCCGACCATAGCTCAGCTTAGTGGAGGTCTGGGAAACCTGTCTTTCTGCAGGTGTGATTCTGGACAATGATATCTTGCTGAAGCAGCAGTTTTCTCTGTCCGGTTTCTGGATTTTGGAAATGATTGGGAGATACTATTTTATAAGTCCTTTCTTATTTAAGATTTGCCAGTTAGATTTGCAACATGCATTTAGGAGAGCCTAAGACATTGTAAATCTCTCCTGTCTTCTCAGTCTTCTCAATCACAAGCTTTAATTCAGAAAAATAAAGCAGTGTGATAAAGCACATCGCAAAAGGGAAGCTAGGAATTACTTCCACTGTTATTGTTGTTATTGCTATCAATTCAATTTATAAACTGCCCTCCCCCTAAAGGCTCAGGACAGTTAACAACAACTTAACCTGCCTCCTCCTCTCGAACTCCTTTGCCTAGTTTGCCGTGCTATTGGAAACTAATAAAATATTTCTCTCAATCTCACTGGCTGTTACAAACACAAGAAATGGGTTGTGTCCATGTGACATGGGAGAGGGAGGGAAATATGTTTAGCCATCATTTTGACTCACTTCCAAAAAGCTTTTGTTAGGAGGCCTTGGACCCCCCCCCCCTTCCCCTGTCTTCCTGTCCTCAGCAGCTAATGATGATAAGCAGTCGCTCCACCCTGGAAACGCCTGTGCCTCAGCATCAGGAGAGTAGTTCTTGCCCACCTGGTGCCTTGAGGAAGAATATTTGCGGATTGGTTAAAGATGAACAGGCTGTGTCCCCTGCTTCAGTTGGTCTGCCCAACCCTTGCAGCCAAGAAGAAGAAAGACACAGAGAGAGAGAGAGCACACTTTACAGTGTATAGTCTCTTTATGCTTCACTAGTGTGCATCCATGTGTAAACCCAAGTCTCTTTCAAATGTCAGCTCATTGTGCTTCTAGGTTACAAGGCATGTTCTGGTGTAAAATAAGGGTCTTTTCCTGTGTGTCAAGGTTTTCTGTGGCAGTATGTCTGACCTCTTCTTTTTATTCTCGGGCCCCCAGCACTTTGTGCCAGAGTGCACACAGATGATGGGGCTAAGGGTGTTTGATATTCTTGCCGGGTACGGTTCGGGTAATTTGTGTTGTGCACGTAGAGTGTTGTGATCCTAATTAACACTGCCTTTCTGCCTCTTCCCCAGGACTGGCAGCCTCCCTTTGCCGTGGAAGTGGATAACTTCCGGTTTACCCCACGGATACAGAGGCTCAATGAATTGGAGGTGAGGCTGTGTTGCAGAGGTGATGCTATCAAGTGTGTTTCTGAAGGACTGAAGGGTCACTTAAATCAGGTGGGTGGGGGCGTTCCAAAGCAAGAAGATGAGGGGAATAGCAAAGCACAGAAACTGCATACCAATGCATACCTGCAATATTTTATGCAAAAATGATAATTAAGCACAAGTCTCAAATGTCTAAAAATGGTCAGTACTTTCCCTCAGTCAGTTTGACACTGTAAATGGTCATCAACGAACTGTGCCGTCATAAGACTGTATCAAGCTGTAGTTAATGAGCTGGACTCCAAACGGTATTGAACTGTAGGATCAATTCCAAAAACCGTGACAAGCTGCTGTTTTGGGAGTCCAGCTCATTAACTTCAGTGTGGTGTAGTGTTCAAATAATCCAGCCAATCAGCAGCAGCCTGATATGGTGTTACGAAGACACACTACTTATGGGGGATTACAGTGTATTTGGTTTTGGAACTGTTTTTAGACATTTATATTTCGCTGCTATTGTAAACAATGTCATAGAATATTGGTGTATAGTTTTGTGAGGATTTGTCCTCATTTTCAGTTTACAATTCGGAGTATCCTGCGATGCTTCCTCTAAGCTGTAGAGTCTTGTGAGCAGAAATGCTACTTTGTGAGCTGCTGGCATTAAAGTTGTGAGCAAGCAATTTGGCTATTGCATAAATTGGTTTGCTCTGGAGCCATCCTTCCTGAGCTAAGACATAAATGTGTGAGTTGGAGGCTTAAAACCTGTGAACTAGCTCACACTAACTCAGCTTAGAGGGAACATTGGTATCCTGTAGCGTATGTGTAAAGTGCCATCAAATCCAAAGCGTCCTCTCGTTCGCAGCTTTGCTCAGGGCTTGTAAACTGAGGGCCATAGAATCATGGAATGTTAGAGTTGGAAGGGACCTTGCAGGTCATCTAGTCCAACCCCCTGCACTCTGCAGGAGCATAGCCAAAAGATAGCCCTACGTACCTACAACATTTATTAAATGAATCCATCTCTTCTATCAAAGGATGTCTCATGTATTCCAGTATTTTGCGTATCCTAGGGGTTTGGTTTTATGGGCAACGAAGGAGAGAGTAGTTGCACTAGAGAATGAGTGAATTTGCATAAGGCTAAGAAGAAGCTTGCTGTAGTTGTGAAGATGGGAGATTGGCCGGGCTGTAAAGTTCTGCTTTAAAAAAAAAAAAGTATCTACAAGGTTCTAGTCTTGGCTGTGAGTCTGAAAAAAAGTGAAATATTTAGTCCTTTCTCTTTGGACTTGAGGGGTGTTTTCCCCCTGTAGGTAGCCTGAAATTTGGCGGTATCTCTGACAAAGTTGTCATTTAAAATTCCGGTTCTCGAGTGAACCCCTCCCGGTCAGAGTGCTCAAGTTGGGTGGTGGGGGGAGGGGGAACAGGAGTGCAGGAGTTCTTCTCTGCCTTGTGTCCAATGCATCAAAACTCAGGGCAAGTAGCAGTCCACATCAGTGTGTGTACACTCTCTCTTATGTCTGTTAACGTTGGTGGCATCTTGGCACCGTGCAAGCAAACTGAGAAGGCAGGAGTTGGTGGATGAAAGGTGCCATTCCTGTGAGGGACTGTTGTTATACAAGCCGTTGATTTGAGAGATATTCTGACCGCAGTTTGTCGTATTCATGTTGCCAGGCACAGACCAGGGTGAAATTGAACTATCTGGACCAGATCGCAAAGTTTTGGGAGATCCAGGGCTCCGCACTGAAAATCCCCAACGTAGAGAGGCGAATTCTTGATTTGTACAGCCTGAGCAAAGTAAGTTGGAACCGAATCCCCCCTGAGACAAAGGAGGGGGCTAGTGCTTTTAAAGCTTGGGGAACAGGTGCAATGCTCCCTCGAAGCTGTGGAGGCTTGTGAGCGAACATTCTACTTTGTGAGCTACTGGCCTTAAAGTTGTGAGCGAGTGATTTGGCTGCTGCATGAATCAGTTTGCTCTGGAGCCGTCCTTCCTGAGCCGAGAATAAAACGTGTGAGCCGGGGGCTAAAAAAACTGTGAGCTAGCTCACTAACTCAGCTTAGAGGGAACACTGAACGGGTGGTCGAACTGGTTTGCTTCTTGGCTGCCTTTGGTAGGTGTCAGCCGGGGTGACTGAAAGGCCAAGACTGGGACTGGGGGGGACATGGGTCACAGTTTGGAGGTGGGTTTTGAGAGAGACTGGGATGATACTGGCCCAGCGTACGGGAAGGTGGAGTTGCCGTGATGGAGTGATACCCGCAGAGCTCGGGAGGTCTGCTATTTCTCTTGTTTCACGTTTCAGATTGTGATGGAGGAAGGTGGCTATGAAGCCATCTGCAAGGATCGCCGGTGGGCCCGAGTGGCCCAGCGCCTTTCCTATCCGTCGGGAAAGAACATCGGCTCTCTTCTTCGGTCCCACTACGAACGGATAATTTATCCTTACGAGATGTACCAGTCGGGGGCCAACCTGGTGGTAAGCGGGAGCCCCTTCCTGTTGGAGTACCTCCGCGTGAATGTTTCCCTTTGAGCACGTTTGGCCTTCCGTTTCCTGCTTCGGTGACTTTGGAGCCTGAAAGGGAAGTCCCAGAGCCTCCTGAGCACCGGCCCCCTTGGCATTCCGAGAAGGCTGTTCTCGGTGGAGGGGAATGGGGTAGGATCTCGAGTCACACAAGAGGTGCCAGGACTTCCCTCGTGGTGGCGGTCGCATTGTTCCTCTGGCAGGGGCCCCCGCCTCATCCCTCGTGTTCTGGTTTCTGCCCATGGGGAGTGCAGTCAGGAAGGTCACTCAGCTTTAACGCTGCTCTCTCCCAGCAGTGCAACACCCACCCGTTTGACAACGAGGAGAAGGACAAGGAGTATAAGCCGCACAGCATCCCATTGCGCCAGTCAGTGCAGCCCTCAAAGTTCAACAGCTACGGGCGCCGGGCCAAGCGTCTGCAGCAGGAGGTGAGTGCGGCACGCATCTCGTGCTGTAATTACGGCGTTTGTTGTGGGTTGGGCGAGCCCCTGACTCCCGGGGCTGTGGCACGCACACACCCCTCTCCCTGACTCTGCAGAAAGACCCGTGTGTTCCCAGCCCTCCTTCGATACGTCCCTCCCTCACAAAGCCATCTTGTCGTCATGAGCTTCGAAGGCCAGAATTGTTTTAGCTTCTTCCCTGAGCTCTCTGGGGCAAAGCACCCGGTTGCTGTGGAAGCGATTGGACCGAGATGGACCGGAGCCTGGAATTGTGGGTGTTCTGCCCTTTCCGTCAAATGGATTCTGCCTCACTTCCCCCCCCCCCTTCATCCTCATGAGCTAACACCTTATTTTGAAATCTCGTTGGTCAGTTTTGATTCTCTGAAAGCTTTTTTTTTTTTTGGGTTTTGTGAACGGTTGTGGTTATTAAAGGAAACAAGAACTTGGCTGTCTGTCTCCCATAAACTAAGGAAACACTGAATCAGGTGGTTATAGCTTGTCCAAGAGCTAGGAGAAATGGGTCTTCCGGTACTCTTGTGTGGGGGTATTTCATCTGTTTGTTTCCTTCGTTTATCTCCCTGCCTTTCTCCCCAGCGGGGAATTGAAGGGACTTACATGATTTATTCTCTATTCTATTGTTGCAACAACAACCAGGCTGAGAGTCTGGCCCAAGGTCACCCAGTGAGCTTTCATGGCCGACTGGGGATTTGAACCTGGTCTCCTTGCTCCTAGTCCCAACCAATGCTCCCTCTAAGCTGTGGAGTCTTGTGAGCCAAAATTCTACTTGGTGAGCCACTGGCGTTAAAGTTGTGAGCGAGCGATTTGGCTGCTGTATAAATTAGTTTGCTCTGGAGCCGTCCCTTCCCGAGCTGAGACAAAAATTGTGTGAGCCGGAGGCTAAAAAACTGTGAGCTAGCTCACACTAACTCAGCTTAGAGGGAACACTGGTCCCAATAGTCTGCTATCCCACTCTGTCTGGTGGTCTCCCATTCTGATGGCTCAGTATGTGCAGTAAGAGCTAAATCTCCTGGGTTCTGTTTCCAGGTCTATATCAGAAGTAATCACTAGTTGCAGCCAATGCTCCCTTTAAGCTGTGGAGTCTTGTGAGCAAAAATTCTACTTTGTGAGCTACTGGCATTAAAGTTGTGAGCAAGCAATTTAGCTACTGCATAAATTACGTTGCTCTGGAGCCATCCTTCCTGAGCTAAGACAAAAATGTGTGAGCCAGAAGCTAAAAAACTGTAAGCTAGCTCACACTAACTCAGCTTAGAGGGAACACCGGTTTCAGCAGACCTGTTCCAATGCTTCCCTTCCAGAGGTCCCGGCACCTATTCCACTTTGGTCATGCCTGCTCCATAGCGAGAGGGCTCTTTGAAGTTACGTTCTCCTCAATTTTTTGTTGTTTTTTACTTCCGAGTGGCACAGTAGTGTCTACCTTCCCTCCTTACGGCTAAGTAATGCAAGAAGGGAGCCCAGCCCATACCTACGGTGAAGGTAATGGCTCAATAGTCTGTAGAGGTACGTCATCTCTGCAAGGTTATGTCCTTGTAGAGCCAGCGTGGTGTAGTGATTAAGAGTGGCGGACTCTAATCTGGAGAACCGGGTGTGATTTCCCACTTCTCCACTGGAAGCCTGTTGGGTGACCTTGGGCCAGTCACCGTTCTCTCCAAACTCTCCCAGCCCCACCTACCGCACAAGGTGCCTGTTGTGGGGAGAGGAAGGGAAGGAGATTGTACTTAACAGAAGCCCACATTTCCCTGTATTGCAAGGATCGCCGGTGGAAGGGAAGGAGATTGTACTTAACAGAAGTCCACATTTCCCCGTTACAGAGTTCCCTCGTATTGGCTTTTTAGCAGCTTTCATTTCCAGATGTTCACTCAAAAGGGGCCGCGTCTGTCTCCTTCAGTGTGATCCATCAATACCTCCCCCATTTTGTGCCCCTTGTTGACACCTGGCTACAGTTGTCGGGAGTCCAGCCGTTGACCCCCGGTCCCCACGCATTTTGTCGTCCTACAGGAAGCGGAATTGTGTCCTGAGTCTGTCAGCGCCCCGCCTCTGTTACCTGAGCAGGCGCCTCGAGCATGGGTACCATTCGTGTTCTGTCCCTTCCTCCTGCCTCTGTCTCTCTTTGCTCTGTTTACTCATCCTGCTTTTGTGGCCAGAAGTCCAGGGGCCACACGGAAAAGGGAGCCGTGGCTTGAGGCAACGCAGTGTCCTAAATTAACCTTGCTTCACTTTGCTTCTGTTTGCAGTGCGTTCTGGGCATGTCTCACTGTTGAGATGTATGTAGCTAGGAATTCTGTTCCGCAACACGATCCATCTCCTTTCCCAAGAACTGACTCAACACTATCCTAGCATTATCTGTCTGCCTTTGCAAACAGTTTCCTCTTCTTCTCCGCCCGACTACGTAGTTGCTGTGGCTTTCCTTTTGCGACTGTTTTCTCATGGGTCTCGGCAGACGTGCTTTGGCACCGACGGCTTCACGCCAGCCTCCAATTCTGTCTTCCTTACAGCCAGAGCCAACGGAGGAAGACATTGAGAAGAACCCGGAGCTGAAGAAACTGCAGATCTATGGTGCTGGCCCCAAAATGATGGGCTTGGGGCTCGTGGCCAAAGACAAGAACATGCGCAAGAAAGGTAGGAATGGTGGTCCGGTCGCACAGTTAGGGTGCCAGAGGAAGAGGAGCTCTCGACGTCCTAAATTCCGTTCTCCCCACTGCAGACAAGGAGATGCCCGAGTGTCCCCCTACCGTCATAGTGAAAGAGGAGCCCCCCGTTCTCGAGACGAAGCTGGAGCCTGTCTCTCCCCGCCGCTATGCAAACGTGAAAGAGGAGCTGAGGCACAGTCCGGAGCCTTGCACCAAGATGACGATGCGCCTGCGTCGCAACCACAACACTCAGTTTGTAAGTGAAATCCTCCCCTCCTCGGTTGGGTGGGTCCTTTTCAGGCGGCCTCTGCTCTTTGTTTGGTGTGGTGGTCAGGAGCGTGGATTCTAGTCTGGGAGAACCAGGTTTGATTCCTCACTCCTCCACATCCGGCTGTTGGTGTGACTGTGGGTCAGCCAGATCTCTCAGAGCCGTTCTCTCAAGGACAGTCCTCGAAAGAGCTCTCTCAGCCCTGCTTTTCTCACAGGGTGTCTGCTGTGGGGAGGGGAAGGGAGAGGAGTTTGTCAGCCGCTCTGAGACCCCTTTGGGTAGTGAAGGGCGGGGTATAAATCCAATCTCCTATTTCATTTTTATTTGCTTAAAACATTTATCAGCTGCCTTTCTTCCGTACGGAGCCCGAGGTGGCTTACAACATAGATAGTACACATAAAATAAAGTCCATCAAAACCCAGATTTCAAATCACAACTCAGAACTCCTAGTAAATCTAACCAGATGTGGTCCTAAATAAAACCGTCTTCAGCTGCCTCCCGAAGATCAAAAGCGGGGGGCGGGGGCAAGCATACCTCCCCAGAGAGGCTGTTCCATGATCATGGGGCTGCCACTGAAAAGGCCCTCTCCTGTGTGCCGACCAAGCAAGTTTCTTTGATCGGTCGGACAATCAGGAAAAGGCCCTCTCCCTGGGATCTTAACTCCCGGGCATGAACACGAGGGGGAAGATGGTCCTTCAGGTTCCCCTAGTCCCGAATTGTGTAGAGCTTTAAAGGGTCCTTCAGCTAGTCTCGAATTGTGTAGAGCTTTAAATGGTCCTTCAGCTAATCTCTTGAGCGGGTGCCGGACAGAAGCTGGCCTATCTGCAGAAGCTCTCCAGATCTCCCCCCCCATTGGTGATACATCCACGTTGCCTCATACTGGTGAATCGCCGCAGATATAGCCTTGTGCTCACGGAGTTCTTTGCTCCTTTGCCTGCTGGGTCCCTGTGGCTTTGAGGTTTCCCCTTCGGTCGAAGGACCCAGGGCCAACAGCTGTCCAAGCGGCACCACCAGCTGTAGATGTGTCAGACCGTCATTGTACGGCGGTCCTCAGGCTCAGTGTTCACGGTCTTCCAGATTGAGTCTTACGTCTGCCGGATCTGCGCACGGGGGGACGAGGACGACAAGCTGCTGCTGTGCGACGGCTGCGACGACAACTACCACATCTTCTGCCTCTTGCCACCCTTGCCCGAGATCCCCAAAGGCGTCTGGAGGTGTCCCAAATGCGTCATGGCGGTAAGGGAGGGGGGGTCCCTGCTTCTGGCTGCACGTTGGCATCCCTTGCCTGCAGGGGTGGCCGAACTGTGGCACGGGAGCCACGTGCGGCTCTTTCACACATATTGCGCGGCTCCCGGCAGGGCAGCTGGGCAAGCAAAGGGGAGGGCACGCCTCCCGTCCCTGATTGGTCTTCCCTTCCCCAGCCAAGTTCCCCTTCCTGGGTAGGGTTGAGGTGGGGAGAGCAGAGAACGAAGGCAACTTGAGCTTTAAATGTGTTTTCAAAGCCCCACCTACAAATATCATTGGACAAATAAATATCATTATCAATATCTTATTTTTACCCCTTTGGTTTTTCATTTTTGGCCATCTCATTTAATGTTAATAAAAAGCAAATTTGCATATCTTCCAATAAAAAACATGTGTAACGTTTGTCCATGGCATGCGGCTCTCAAACATCTGATGTTTATTCTCGTGGCTCTTACGTTAAGCAAGTTTGGCCGCTGCCGCGGCTTGCCCGACTAGGCCCATGCGTTTTGCCCTGTAGTTAGAGGCCGAGATTCTCAGTCGGACATCTAAGAAGGGCAGCAGAAGCCTGATGATTATTGTCCGGTAACCCTTTGTTCCCGGACTCGC